TTCATGGGTTAGCTGTATGGTGCTTCGCCAGTGCCTGGCACATACTAGTAACATCTACTCATGACATGGCTGATTTTTTTAAGTATGTATTCAGGTGATGATACATGCATAACTAAGCTTTTATTAAAATGTTAGCCATTGTGATTATTGAGGAGAGAAGGTCCTACTCTGAAGAGGGATGGACAGAAAATGCCTTCTGAGGTGACTGATCTAAGGTCTGGGTAACAACAAAGAGCAGGACATGAGAGAATCTGGGGGAAGAGCTGGGATGAAAGCTGGTTGAGGGGAGGGAGTATGTAAGTCTTCTTCATCACTGTATCTCCCTAGAACACGCCTGGCCCACAGAAGCACTCAGTGATGAAATGCAGCAGAAATGAATAAAGTGGATTTCTGGCAGAGGACACAAGTGCAAAGGCCCGGGGTAAGTACCAATCTGGGTGCTTGAAAAGCACAGAGAGGAGAGGCCCACGGGGGGCAGTGCAGTTAGTGGACACACATGGCTGGAGTGTGGAAGGTGTGTGGCCTGGGACAGTCAGTGAGGCAGGAGGGGCCAGGTGACAGAGGACCCTGTCAGTAATAGTTTAAATTCAATTTTACTCGTCTTTCAAAGAGATGGCATGGAAGGGTTTTAGCAGAGTGGCACGGCCTGGCTTATTTCTTTAAAAGATCACCATGGCTGCTGGGAAGAGATGTTTCAGGGAAGCAGGATGGAAGCAGGCGATGTATAGATCTGAGCGGGGGACGTCTGAGGGCCGGGCGTGAGGGGAGGAGAGCTGTGCTCACTGCTCGGGTTTCCATGTGAGCACGCACACTCTGTGCTGTTCGCAGACAGGGACACGGGGAGGAGCAGGTGCGGAGCAGAACCAGCGCCAGGAGCTCTGGTTCCCTGGCATCTGGGCGAGGATGGCTGCTAGGAAGTTGGCCAAAGCGGCTGTGACGCTGAGGAGGGGTCCTCCACAGGAGGTGGTGTTCAAAGTCCAGGGACGAGATCAAATAAGAAGTGACGTGGGTCTTCCTGTTAGGCTGCCAGAAAGGTACAAACTCAACATAAATCGAAGCGGACATTATCTTCTCGGAAATTCCGGATACGATTACCTCCTCTGATGGCCCCTCCTCTTCATGGCATCTAGCATTCTGTCACCTACAGTATTTCTGTAGGTGTTTGTCCTATAAAATGTCTGAGAAACGAGGAGGCTGGCGATGGTGTGTCTGTGGGTGCAAGCCCCGGCAGACAAGACGCTCCCGGGGCATGGCTGTGCCTCCGCCCAGCAGCGTGGACGGGACAGCGTCCGCCCGGAGGAGACAGCACACGGATATGAAAGGCATGTGTCGCTCATGTGTTAATGGGAGGGGTGGAAGCCCTGTTCGAACACGCTAAGGCTTTGTTTTGAACAAATTTAGTGCCTGGTTAAATAGCAATCAGCAGTACATACTATGCTGGTTAGTGAGGGTAAGTCTTCGGATCCTGGAGTCAAAGACTTAAAGCAGCAGGGAAAGAACTGCAGCGGCTTTAAGAGATGCATGATGTTTGGACCCGCGGAGCGGATTCAGAAAGGAGGTGGCAGTGAGGCTGTAGGGAAATGACTTTGCAGAACAAGGCACAGGGGAGGGAGCTGGGGCAGCGGGTGGGATGGGAGAGGGAAGACAGGGAGAAGTATGGACACCCTTGATGGCTTAGAGTTCTAGAAAGTTACACATTTCAGAGAACTTAAAAGATGTTTAAGAAAGTGACCCAAATTCAATGCATAGAATGGATGAGAAGGCAGAGCAACTGCTAACTCAGACTAGGTACAAGGTAATAAGAATCTGACAAAAAGGAGGCCACAGGTTCCAAAAAGTCTGAGTCGACCTAACTTGGTGAATGATTCGTGGAGAAAGGCAAAGAGGAGACACAGATTTTAGGTTGGGGTCTGAAACCAAGCAGTAGTATGCCTGGAGGACACCTAGGAGAGAACAGGAGGACTGGAGAGGAAGGCGGGGCCTTGGATTCCACACCGAGGAGTCCCAGCTGAAGGTGGCCTTCCTCACCGCACACCGTGCATGCAGTCCTGGCCCAGAACAAAGGCTGAATGCTGTTTCACATAAACATAACAGAGAAACCTTCATATAATACAACCTCTCCATGGTTGCAAAAGCAAACTGAAATGGCTAAAATCATAAACAAAAATAAAACAAGTGCCAAAAGTTGTCTACTTCTAAAAAGCACTATGATTTCACATTTGGGTGTTTTGTAAAAAAAAAAAAAAATTATTATATGAAAAGATGCTCAACATTATTTAGCTATGAAAGAATTGCAAATTAAACCACAATGAGATCCCGGTACACAGCTACTGGGATGGCTAAATGTTCTAAAGACTCTAATAACAGGCGGTGGCATGGACGCAGAGCACCTGGAAAACTCGTCATTGTTGCAGAATGGCAGCCACTGCAAAACAGCTCACAGTTCCCTACAAACAAAACTTACACTTTCCCTATGACCCAGCAGCCCTACTCTTGGCACTTACCCAAAAGAAACGAAAACATATGTCCATACAGATACCTACATGCAAATATTTATTGCAGCTTTATTCATAATCATCAAAAACAGGAAAACTCAAGTGTGCATAAACTAGTGAACAGATAAACAAACTACTACATCCACACCACAGATCACTACTTGGGAACAGACTGCTGGTACAGGCAAGACATGAATGAATCTCAACAGCTTCATTACATGGAAGAAGCCAGGCACAAAACGCATAGTGCGTGGTTCTCTTTGTATGGTACTCTGGGAAAGGGAAAACTATCAATATTCTATACATAGTTGGTTATGGTGGCAGTAATAAACATTTATCAAAACTCAGAAAAATGTGGCTCAGTGGTTGAGTGCAGACCCATGATCCAGGAGGTTACAGTCCAATTTCCCGTCAGGGCGCATGCCCAGGTTGAGAGCTTAATCTCCAGTAGGGGGCGAGCAGGAGGCAGCCCATCAATGTTTCTCTCTCATCGATGTTTTCATCTCTCTATTCCTCTCCCTTCCCCTCTCTCTCTCTCAAACCCCCCCCCCCACACAAACCAATCAATAAAAACATATTGAAAAAAAATGTACACTTATTAAGGTTGGATCTTGCTATCTGAAAATTATTCTTCAATAAAATCAACTTAAAAAAACAACTAGAGCATCTTAACATTTGCTCAAAGAAAATTGTTAAAGCTCAATATTGTTACCGTATCTATGATTACTCTGGAAATTTCTACATGTTTCTTAACTAACAAGAATACTACAGATGTCCTTAATACTGAAGAGAAATAAATCCCATGCTTCCGAACCCTTTGGGCATCAAAGCATTCCTGTGCAGACAGGGATAGGAAGTTAGAGTGCAGCGAGGGGTGAATGCCAGTCATTGAGACGCTAATGAAGCGAGTCTTGTTTGGGGACAGCTGCTGGCTCCATTGTTCCTTTGTCCATGTGAAAAAGGGGAGCTGGATGCTCCAGGAATGCGGCCTTCTCCTGGGAGCGCTGCTACATCATGCCCAGAAACCCCGCTGAGAGGCCACTGTCACCAAGCGCCAGAGAAAAGGGTAAAACCAAACCAAACACAACCAGAAGAGACCCCAAAACCTGTATTAGGTCATCTGTACCACTCCTTAAAATCAGAACTACTTCTAAACACATAATGTTCCAGGGTTTATTTTTCAGGATTAATGCTTTGTCTCATTTTAGTGTCCTCACATTCTGAACTCCACAGAATATTTTAAAGTCTGGATAGTCTGCTGTTCAGGGGAAGCGGCAGGAGCACACAAACCACGGTCACCGGCTCCCTCAGCCACGGGAGTAAGGCCTTTACTTCCCGTGTTCCCAAAGGCCCGCCTAGACACTTCGCCATTTTACAGCTTAATCATTTATCAACCATTTCCCCTTGAACAGGGCTTTTACCGTCTTTTGATCATTATCCACAGTGAGGAATACATGGCACCGTGCAGCTGGGACAGATGTGTGTGCGTGCACCACAACGCTGAAGTCTTACACAGCAGGACTCATCTCACCCACAGGACGTTCTGCTAATAACGTCCCTCCTAGCACAGTCTTTAGAAGGCTGGCAGACACCCACACAGCTCATAGCATGAGCCACAGTATTTAAAATCATTGCATCAGAAGATGAAAACACGTCTCTGCGTACTTGAAGACAGATTTTTAAAAATTTCTGTTTTAAACAAATGAGTGACCTTCCCTGAGGTTAACTCACAACTCAGCAGACGCTGCTCCTTCTCAGGGGGTTCTTAGGCCTGTGGGTGGCAGCGAGGGAAGGTGCCAGTCAGAGCAGCCCGCCTCCTGCTGCCCACCCTCAGATGTGGGGATGAGCGGGCTGGCCTAACAGTCAGGGTCTTGCTTCTTTTCCTTTTCATTCTCCATCATCGTCATTCCTTAACTTCTACACACACACACACACACACACACACACACACGAGTGCGCACGCAGGGAAGTGAAATAAAAGTCTATGGGTAGAGAAGAAATACAGAAGAAAGTAAAGCAGTTTCCTTAACACCTGAGGATTCAGTTACGCCGTTATGATGATCTCTCAGTACCACAGACACTGAACAAGTTTAAAAGATTGAATTGGCATGTAAACCACATGTAAAAAATATTTTCAATTCTTAAAAATAATAGCCCTAGCCAGTTTTGCTCAGTGGGTAGAGTGTCAGCCTGCAGACTAAAAGGTCCTGGGATCAATTCCGGTCAGGGCACATGCCCAGGTTGCAGGCTTGATACCCAGTGGGAGGGGGAGGAGGAGGAAGGGGGTGCACAAGGCAGCCAATTAATAGTTTTCTCTCATGATTGATGTTTCCATCTCTCTCTCCCTCTCCCTTCCTCTCTGAAATCAATAAAAATATATTTAAAATTTTTTTGAGTTTTTAAATTGCTAGTCAATATCATATTCTATTATTACAAACTGAAACAATTGGATATTTATGATACAATAATTAGAAAGCAATTTTATATGAAGATTGGAAAACTTACTTTTAAGGATTCCCACAAAGGAAACTGGACCAATGAGAAGGGAATCTGAAAAGAGAAAAAGAAGAATCAAATAAATTAGGCAGGAAGCTTAGACTTTGCCTAGCATGACGATACAACCCCATAATTATTACTGAGAACATTATTTCATCTTAACTATGTATATAATAAAGCTAACATTAAACAAATACATACATTACTGTATATAATACATAGGTTTAAGAAACAAGTTAACTTAACTGCCTTTAGCTTTGCACTAGCTTTCTGAGCCGTGTGGTCAGATGACGCTGTGGTGCCCTTTGCAAGAGGAAGGGAAGCACAATATGAAGAAGCCCCGGCTACCAAAATGACAAAATGATTATTTCTCATCACAAGTAATAAAAGCTTTAAAGACGTGGCACACTTCTGCTTAAGAGCTAGAGCTGTCTGCTCCTTAGCAGACCAAGTGTTAGGATTAAGAGAGAGAAAGGAATGGGGCAGTGGGAAGAGAGCCAGAGAGGGAGAAAGAGCTGGGAATGAGGAGGGAGCAGAGAGGGAAAGTCCAAAAAATGTGGAAGAAAAGAAGGGGAAGGGGAGAAGAAAGAAAGGGAAGAGGGGCAGAGAGAGGAGAAGGGAAAAGAAAGAGGAGGAAGGAGGAGAGAAGTTGAAGGGTGAAGAGTAGGGGAGGACAGAGGGAGAGAGAGGAGGGGAGAGAGAAGGAAATGAGAGGGAGCCCAGAGGGAGATGAGTGAGGAAGGGCAGAGAGGGCAAGGCAGGCGGAGGGGAGGGAAGAGGAGACAGGGCCACTGGAGGAGTAAGCAGAGGCAGGGACCAGAGGAGCGGGCGTGGACTGGGAGGCTGCACCCTTCAAGGAAGGAGCAGCCTATGGATGGTGAAGGAGTGGAGGCTCCTGATGCCTGATACGCACACCAGAGCAGCAAGGAGAAGAGTGATGCGCAGGAATGACGCATGAGCAGTGGGCATCACCACCACACGTACCTAACAGGTATGGACAATTTGGTGTGTAACAAGAATTACCAGGCACTTTTCATGTGTCAGGCACTGTGCTAATAAGCACTTCATAGGTTTTATTTCACTGAATCCTCACAACCTCATCTTATAGATGAGGAAACGGAAGTCCAGAGAAGCTGTGTAATTCGCCTATAGGCCCAGCTAGAATGAAGACGCCAGACAAGGGCCCTGTCTACTGCTCTACCTAAAAACATCCAAGTGCATTCATCTCAGTATACTCTATTTGCTTTAAATGTTCCTAAATTCTAAAAATAGAGCCCACCTCCATATATCCTAAAATAAAAGTACCAGAATTCCAGTGACCCACCCACCAACCTCTTCAGATCCACTCTCGGACCTATGGGCCTGTGCCAGGGATGCTCAAGCAGACCAGGCCCGTGTCAGCATTCTGTGTTCAGCTCACCGGCAAGTGAAGAGTAAATGTGGAAAACAACATGAATGAATGTGTGTGAGTGTGTGTGTGTATGTGAGTGTGTGAGACCACAGTTTTGAAGGAATTAACGGCCCATGAATTAAGGGCATTAAGTCACTTCTAAAATACTTATTCAGAAATTAAGAGTCTGACATAAGCTCTCTTATTCTGCTGGAACAAATGAATGCCTTGGGCTTGACAGTGGCCACAGAAAGAAAAATCTGTCTTCCATTCAGACAGGAAATGGCAGTGAGAGGAAAAAAACCAATGTCAATAGATTAGTTTAAGATGATAAATTAGAATCTCAGAGAAGTTTGTCACCTTCACCCCCACCCCATACAGAGAAGTGCTACAAATAGGCGTCCAATTTAGTTTAGTTTTGTCATGAAACCATGAAATCATCTGACACTGTCCATTCTGAAACTGAAGTACTCCCAATTAAATTATCAAAATCCTAATTTTTTTTAAGTACACAATATGTAATAAAATACCAAGAGGACAACAGGCAGAGGGATTACAGATGATTTTAATGTTCTTTTTTGTACTCTCTCCTCCCACATGTAAATGTATCACAGTTTAACAAGAGTGTAAATAGTTCACATTTATAAGATGAAAAAGGTCTTATCGTTACTGGTCATACTAACATTCTTCCCTTGATAAAAATAACCCATTAAGTTGGTACTTAATACATAATAGAGGGTACAGCGAACATAGGAATACAGTGTGAGTACACAAAATGCAGTTTAATCTTGTATTATTCATTTTATATTTTCCACATAACCAACTTTAAACCTACATTTGCCCCACCCTGAATTAGATCTTGAATTCTGTAGATGAACATTTTGCCCATTTTCCTCTGTTCAACACTAGACGCTGCAGAATGGATGAACCTTGAATACATTATGGTAAGCGAAACAGGTTAGTCACAAAAAGACAAGTACTGTATGATTACACTTATGTGAGGTATCTAGAGTAATCAAATTCATAGAAACCAAGTAGAATGGGGACTGAGAGAAGAGGGGAATGTGGAGTTACTGATTAATGGATAGTTTCAGTTTTGCAAAATGAAGAGAGTTTGGGAAACTGGTTGCACAACAATTTAAAAAGACTTAATGCAACTGAATTGTAACTTAAAATGGTTAAGTGTATTTTAATACTATTTAAAAATATTTTTTATTTTTTAAAAATATACTCTTAGTAAAAAAGCAAGCGACAGATTGGAAGTAAATATTTACAAAACTCATCTGACAAGGAATTTCTATGCAAAATATATAAAGAATGTTAGAAACTTAATAAAAAGAAAGAAAAACGAATAACTCTTTAAATGCATAAAAGACTGAACAAACATATCATCAAAAAAGATAGACGAATCACTAATATAAACACATAAAAAAAATATTCAATATCACTAGCCATCAAGGAAATGTTAAAGCACACTGAGAAAACAGTGTGGTTCTTCAAAAAGTTAAACTTGGAATAACCATATGACCTAGCTATTCCACTCCTTGTTATACAGCCAAAATAATTAAACACAGGGACTCAAAGATATACTTGTACACAAATTTTCATTGCATCATTATCCACAATAACCAATAACTCCTGTGTCCATCAATAAGTTAATGGATAAACAAAAATGTGGTATATCCATACAATGGAATATGATTCAGCCATAAAAAGCAATGAAACTCTGATGTATGCTACAATATGGATGAACCCTGAAAATATCAAACCAGAGAGAAAAGGACAAACGTTGTATGATTCCACTTACATGAAATAGCTAGACCAGGCAAACTCCCCGAGGAAGAGAAACCAGACTGAAGGCTCCTTGGGGCTCAGGGAGAGGGGAGGAAGGGGTATTGTTGAGAGCAGACTTTCCGCCTGGGCGGATGAAATCGTTCAGGAGTAGGGATGGTTACCCTACATTGTCACTGATACTGATTACACATAAAGTGATTAAAATGGCCAACTTTATGTTATATCTATTTTACCCCTATTTCAAAATATATTTTTTAAAGCACACATTGAGGCGCCATTATATCACCACTAAGAAGGCTGAAATGAACACGTCTGACAAAAACCAAATGACGATAAGCATGTAGAGTAACCACAACTCTCATATTTGGCTGACAGGAATTTAAAACAGAATAATTACTTTCAAAGGGGGTTTGCTAAGTCTTTATTTGATCCAGAAATTCCACGCAGGTATGCATTCAAACGCAATGATAATATATGTCAACGATAAGACTTGTGCATGAATGCCACCGGAGCTTTAATCACAATAGTTAGTGTCCATCAACACAAGAAGGCTATACAAGCAGTGGCATATTCACACAGTTGAATCATAGGAACAAACGGAAAAGAACTACTGATACCTGCTATACCACTAACAATTCGCACACACATTATGTATAGCAAAAAAACTCAGACACAAAGCGTCTATACTGTATGGATTCCATTTCTATAAAGTTCTAAGAGTGGGCAGGCAGATTGGGATAAGACACCATATAGCACGTCCTAGGGATATGGAAATATTCAATATCACAATGGGGTATGGATTACATGACCATATTCTCCTTCAAAAGGGTACATGTGATTCAGTGTATACAGATTTTATCTACAAATATAATTTTGAAAAATACAATAGTACTCAAGGTGAAGAGTGGAGATACAGATGATAAAATGGCAGAATATTGATAACAGCTGAAACTTAGTGGTGGGTACTCTGGGGTGTGTTATACTATTGCTTAAACAATTTTTTAAATTGTTTATATTCTTATTTTTTTCTTAATAAAAAATAAGTGTACAAGTAAAGCATGACTACATTCACACTAAAATTCATATATAGAAGCCTGTAACTAAAGGTCAAAGGGAGCTCCCTAATTCCAATAATCAAAATTAATTGACGTTAATAGTTTGGGATATATCTTCTCATTTATCTCAACATACAATATTTAGTTTTAGATTTTTAAAAAATTAGGCATGCGTTAGGATACATATAGTTCCAAAATTTAATTTCCCCCCCCTAAATAACGTCTTGGAGATATTTCCATGTTAATATAGATCTGTCTTGCCGAAACCGGTTTGGCTCAGCAGTAGAGCATCGGTCTGCGAACTGCAAGGTCCCAGGTTCGATTCCAGCCACGGGCATGTACATTGGTTGCGGGCACATCCCCGGTAGGGGGTGTGCAAGAGGCAGCTGGTCGATGTTTCTCTCTCATCGATGTTTCTAGCTCTCTATATCTCTTCCTTCCTCTCTGTAAGAAAATCAATAAAATATATTTTTTTAAAAAATATATAGATCTGCCTTTCTGACCACTGCATAGCATTTCATATTATTTAACTACCTCTTGATGGTTTATTTCCAATTTTTCCTCATAAAATATTTCTTTAATTGATCATTTATAATAGAAGATTCTAGATATAGCATAACAATTATGAATACATAATTCCTGAACATACACCTAATAACATGGAAGGCTAAGGTCCAATATTAACCCTTCATTAGCATAACTGTCCTTAGACATGCCCAGTGCTAACATTTAGCAATCAGAGCATTCAATAAAATTGAAGAACAGAAAATCACACTGACTTTCATAACACACCATTCAATGTTACCTGACTCCTG